CTGCTGAACCATCTCACTTCTCCTGAATGCCTCTTTTTGTTTTGTTTTTGCTTGTTTGTTTTGAGAAAGGGGCTCACTATGTAGCCTTGCCTAGCCTGGAATTAAATATGTAGACCAGACTGGCCTCGGACTTCAGAGATCCACTCACCCCCTGCCTCCCAAGTGCGGGGTCTAAAGTCTAAAGTTGTGTGCCACCACTTCCTGCCTGTCTCCCCCACCCCCGTGTGCTCTAATTCAATTCCTGGCCGATGTTTTAGTAGGAAGTTTAGTAAGAGGTATCCTCCATTGCTGTATTTCTTTGCAAGAAGTATTCTAGCCCATTGCACGAAGCCTTATTTTCCTTTTCTATTGTGAAGTTTAAAAAGTCCAGAATATTTTATTACAGAATTGTGTGTGTGTGTGTGCGCTCCCATGGAGGGCATAAGAGGGTGTCAGATCCCTGGAGTTAGTGTTACAGGCATTTGTGAGCTACCTGGGTGCTGGGGATAAAACTCAAGAGCAGCACCCGGTCTTAGCCTCTGAGCCATCTTTCCCACCCCATCTTTGGAAATTTTGTTTTGTTTTGTTTTGTTTTGGTTTGTTTGTTTGTTTGTTTGTTTGTTTTGAGACAGGGTTTCTCTGTGTTGCTCTTGCTGTCCTGGAACTCTGTAGACCAGGCTGGCCTCAAACTCACAGAGATCCACCTGCTTATGCCTCCTGAGTGTTGGAATTAAAGATGTGCACTACTGTGCCCAGCAGAAGTTTTTAATCATACACAAAAGGAGACTATAACTACAGCACCATTATTTCTATAAGATAATAATTCCTTATTTAAATGTAAAGAGCTATAAATACAAATCAGATTTGAAAAAATGTGGATAACTTGTTAGATTTACTTTTAATCATGTTTGTTTGCTTTTTTATTGAAAATAGATTCTTTCCTCATACAGTAAGTCCTGATTATAGTTCTCCCTCCCTCTACTCCTTCCAGTCCCCCCACTCCTTTCCTCCCTTCAGTCTCTCATTAGAAATGAACAGGCTTCTAAGAGCTAACAACCAAACACGCTAAACCATCGTATGGAAGTTGGACACATCAACTCGATAGGAGGAAGAGTCCAATGGCAGGCTCAAGAAGAGTCAGAGACCCACTCACTCTCCAGTCAGGGGTCCATAAAAGACCAAGCTAATACCTATAATAACTGCAGAAGACTGGCTGTAGCCCCAGGCAGGCCCTGTGCTTGCTGCTTCCATCTCTGGGAGTTCATATGCTCCTTACTTAGTTGATTCAGAAGGCCTTGTCCTCCTGGCATCCTCCATCCCCTCTAGCTCTTACATCTCAGGGATTCCCTGAGCTCTGAGGGGAGGGATTTGATGGAGACGTCTCATTTAGAGACTCTCTCCACATGATGTCTGGCTGTGGGTCTCTGCCTCTCTTCCCATCTGCTGCCAGAAGAAGACTCTGTGATGAATGGATAAGACACTGATCTGTGAGTATAGCAGATATCATTAGGAGTCATTTTATCGATTTGTTTGTTTGTTTGTTTCACCCTAGGTCTCTGGGGGTGTCTAGTCTCTCGTTCTTGGTTACCCTAGCAGTGCCAGGTATGAGTTCCTTCTCGTGGAGTAGGCTTAGATCAAATCAGACATTGGTTGGCCACTCCCACAAGTTCTGTGCCACCATTGCCCTAGCATATTTTTGAAGACAGGACAGATTGTAGGTCAAACCTTTTGTGGTTGGATTGGTCCCTTCCCATACCAGACTAGAATGTAGGGGTGAAAGCTCCATGTAGGCACCAGCCTGACTACTTCATGTTCATGTTGCTCTTAACAGTGGGCCCCTCTGTAAGTTTGTAGAGCGCAACCCTTTGTCTTAGCAACAGCCTAGGTTGTTTGCGATTTCTGTAGACCCCCTTGGGCAACAACTCAATTGAATGTCCCACCTCTCTCTGGAAGCCTCCCCTAGCAGCAAGAGATGACCAGTTAAGATTCTCTATCCCCCATTACTAGGCGTCCTCATTAGGATTACTTTTATAGATTCCAGGCAGTTTCCCCTGTACTAGGTTTCCACACAACCCCTCAAAAGTCTGCCAATTCTAGCTGTCTCTGCCTGCTCTCTCCCTCTCCCTCCCTCATCTTCCCCCTACTTGGCCCTGCAGCTTGGGGTAAATGCAAAAGAACACAATTCCTGGATGCATAATGAAAGTGTCTTTAGTTCTGTAAGAAACCGTCACAGTATCTTCCCAAGTGGCTGTCCCATTTAACTTCCCATCAGTCTTTGTTCATTTGGTGTTAACCAGATTTGAGCACTTCAGTAGATACAGTGGTACCTAATTATTTTTATTTTCATTTCCCTGGTGATGGGTTGCTTATTTCCCCTTTGCTTATCTTTTTTTTTTTTTTTGATGAAGTATTTGTCATTTTAAAGTTATTTTTTTTTAAGGGAGAAGGAGTTTATTTAGGTTCAGAGTTCAAGGGTATATAGTCCATCGTGGAAGGGGAGCCAAGGTGCAGGAGCTAGCAT